TTGGAGCCGTGTGGTTGCTCGACGAAGATTTCAGCATCGACGGGTGCGTACAGAAAGGCATTGGCGACGTCGATTTGGCGTAGTTTCTTCTTCTTCATGGCGGCTATCGCGAGGAGAATCCGCAGAGAGGTGTGTCGGCTGACCGGCGCAAACGTTTCGGTGAAGTCCCGTCCGTGCTCTTGGTCGAAGCCGTGTACGACCCATCGCGCCTTGAATTTGTCGATGGTGCCGTCTGCTTTGGTTTTCACACGGAAAACCCATTTCCCGGTGAGGATTGTCTTGTTGCGTACCACGCCGATGGGAACAATTTTCCAGCGCTCTTCCAGCGCTTTTAACTCCTTGTCCATGGCTTCGCGCCATTTTTCCCTGTGCTCCCCCCCCAGAGCCTGCTGAACCGTGGTAGGCTCTTTAGGTGGTGCCGTGCCGTGGACTGCGGTGACGAGCACGAGTATCTGGAGTCCACTCTGTGTATAGCGGGGGAGATTTGCGTCCTCGGGATAAGCCGCTTCGTCTCCTGCTTCTGAATCAGGTGTGAAATTGGGTCCTATGCATTCTGCTTCATTGGTGTTGACTCGTGCGGGTGTAACGTAATCAGTGTCAGCGAAGTCGTAGAAGAATTCGGCGTTGATGCTTTCGCGAGGGTTGTCGTCATCCATTGGGATATCTACCGAACAGTAGGGAAGAGGTCCGGGTTCTTCCGAAGCTCCGTCTACGGGGTGTCGTCCCAGTCAGTTTCGTCTTCTAGCGAAGCGAAGGCTCCGTCTCCACGAAAGCCACCTGTGGGGTCTCGTTCTTCTTCCAGGTTGGCAAGGTATGCCGGGAGTGTGAGTCTTTTGTAGAAAATCACGTCACGTGCTGCCACTGTTTCCTTGGTGTTGATGTCAAATATTTTCCATGCGTTGTAGTGTTTCTTGATGCCCAGGTGTAGTCCCCACTGTGCCCGTTGGGAGAATCGGCCGGCTCGTGCAGCTGTGGGTCGGTACTATACCATGCAGCCGAACACCCGCAACATTTTTGTGTTGCCCAATTTTCCTGTCCACAGCAGATGCGGTGATGCGTTGTTCGGGAGCGATGATGACGAGAGCAAGTTGTGCAGCATGACATCATGGTCCATCGCCTCAGGCCACTGGTGGTTGGGTAGCCGCATGCCACGTAGCAGCTTGCACATGGTGTTCTGGAGGGTCCTGTTCATTCTTTCTGCCACGCCTTGCTGTTGGTGAGCGTAGGGAAGAGAGAGAAGTCGATTGATGCCTCTCTCGGCCAAGTACTGCGTGAACCTCTGTGACGTATATTCCCCTCCCCCGTCTGACTGGAAACTTTTCAGCTTCACTTCTGATTCCCGTTTTGCTACTGGAAGCCAGGCGTCGATGAAGGTGATGACATAGTTGTATGCTCCTTGACCTGGTTCACGGTTGTACAAGATGTCGCTGTACACCTTCTCTAAAGGTGCGTATGACGATGCACTTGGGTTGTGATGAGAGACGAAAGGCTGATGCGGGTCACCTTCAGGGCAGGTGAGGCATGTTCCTCGAACTCCTTGAAGTTCTCTGCCATCGGGTAGAAGTAGCAAGTCTTTATCAAGTACTCCTGCTCGTATCGTGCTATTTAACGTTGTGTTGCTCGGGTGTCCCATTCTTGCGTGCCAGATGTCTTCGCCGACGCGATGTCCGGGTGAGCGCCTGTACAAGTCGGAGTTGGAGTAAAAACCGGCGGTGAAGTTGGCGCTTCTGTGGACTTCGCGTGGAGTAGGAGTCAGTTGCTGCGCAAGAGTCGGTGGAGTGTCGTCGATTGGGGCTGGTGCTCTTGAAGGACCCGTGATTGGCGTCGTGATTGGTGTTATCTCTGCTGTTACCAATGTTGTCTCTGCTGCTGCCGATGTTGTCTCTGCTGCTGCTGATGTTGTCTCTGCTGCTGCCGATGTTCTCTCTGCTGCTGCCAATGTTGTCTCTGCTGCTGTCGATTTTGTCTCTGCTTGTTAAATTGTTGCTAATGCTCGTGTTCTTTCTGCCTCAGGTACGGTGTTTGAGTACCAGAAGCCGCCGGGGATGAAGCCGGGGTCGAGATCTGGTGGGTGTGTCCAAGAAGTGAAATTGACGATGGCGTCGCTGTCGGCGGTGCCTAGGTCTGGGACGAAGTCGAGAACGAAGACGTTTTTCTTCGACACTGCCTTCCCAATGTAGAGTCCTCCTTTCCCGTGGTACAAATTGAACTCCTGAGTGGTGCTGTCTGCTTCAAGGTGGATCCCCTTCGCCATCAGCTGGCTGACGCTAAGTAAGTTGTAGCCGAGTCCCTCCGCGATTAGAACCTTTGACATTTGAAGTATGACGTTGGTTTCTCTTGACTGAAGTTGAACGATGCCTTGTCGTCATGTGCGCAGGTTCTGATTGTTGGCGACGGTGATGACGACTTTGCGCTGAAGTTGGTGTTCCCGTTGAACGAAGCGACCCGAGGAGCACATATGCTGTCTGCAGCAACTGTCCAGGAACCAAGTGTCTTTCCCGGACGGCTCGCTTTGGGCGATGGCTGTGTACGTCGGGTTCGGTTGCAATGATTCGCGACGAGGGGTACTCTCATCGAGTTGTTCTTCCGGTGAGTAGTACGGTGGTGATTCACTGATGCAGGAGTCTGTCAATCTCGCCATGCAACTCACGATGTTTCTTGTCCCTTGTGCAAGTTGTGTTGTTGACGTTCCTTGAGCTTGAGGAGTGGGATGAGCTTGTGTTGAGGCGACTTGGCTACTTGAAGGCCGGAGTTGTCATTGCGGTGGTGTTGACTGTTGTCGATTTGGGCAGTGTGTGCGAAGATGCCCAAATGTTTTGTAGAGATGACAGAACGGTGGTGCGTGCTGTTGCTATTGTTGTTTATTCTGTCGGTTGGAGTTGTTGAAGCGTCGTTGGGTGTGAAATGCAAATTCAGGTACTGAGGTTTTCTTCTTGTGTCGCTCCTCGTGCAGATCCATGTCTTGTTGTTCAGCGTGTATCTCAGCGCAGAGTGCCGCTTCGGAGATTTTCCCGTGAGCTCGGAGTATGGCTCGGGTGGAGCACCAATGAGGACCAAGACCGGAGATGACGACCGTGACAAAGGCTTCCTCAAATATCGATTCCGCATCGAAGAAGTTTGTCGCGCAATTCGCGACAACAGCTGATATATGCCATCCCCTTTTCGCCGGGTTTCATTTCGATTGTTGTCAGCTGTGCCATTAACCGACTCTGATTGACGCTGTCTGTTGCTTGATACAGGTTCTTCAAGTGATTGTACGCGAGTTCAGCGGAGTTGCCGTATCCCCGATAAGACCGGATTTTCTGCTGCTGGTTTGGAGTTACGTTCCTTGGCAGGATTATGTATGCCATCATCGACTGATATGTGTACCTTTGCTTGTCGTATTGCGTCCCGTGTGTTGGGTATGGCAGGGACCCGTCGAAGAATCCAAGAATCTGCGCGCCTTCCATCATCAGTTCAAACTCGAACGACCAGGTATAGAAGTCTTTGTCGTCGAAAAGTGTTGACTCTATAATTTCAAGACGTGCGCGAACTGCGATTGAACTTGGAGTGCATCCAATGTCTTCTCCTATCCAGGTCGAGGCTGTTGTTGCGGCATGAAGCTAATTGAGCCACGTTGAGGCTCATACGGAGCAAAGGTGGGTTGCTGCTAGTTTCCGTGCGCATAGGATGAGCCATCGAGACTCATGGGTGTAACATCGTTGTTGTTGCGCAGGTGCCGCTTGCTGATGCTGTTAGTAGAAGGACATAAAGGAGAAGAATTTCTCCATCATACTTGGATCGAAGCCTGTCGCTTGTTTCGCGGGAGTCTCGGTAGACTCAGCTGCTGATCTTGTTGCTGTACCTCCTTCTGTCTGCAGGCCAGAGGCTGGAGGCGGAGTAGGAGTAGTCCGCTGGCTCACCTACCTGCTGCCCGACTTGGGAGAGCCGCCTCGTTCTCCTCCAATTCTGTACGTCGACAACAAGGCCATGATTGCCTTGTGTCAGGAGCACAGACTGGAGCACAGGACGAAGCACATCGCTCTGCGTTACTTCCTTGCTCGAGAGTTGCAGCAGCGTGGACAGCTTCGCCTTGCTTACGTGGCATCTCGGGCCAACGCCGCTGATATCTTCACCAAGGCACTTCAGCCTTGTGATCATCAGCGGCTCTGTACTGTGCTAGGACTTTTGCCTGCTTGGCCTCACTTGCTCACCTCTTGACTGTGCTTGTACTGTGATCTATATTGTATACCTGCATGCCTACTCCTGCTAGGTAGTGATCACCGTATTGTTGTTGTTGCATATATACATCTGCATGTGAACTGGCTTTGTGGCCCTTTGCTTGTGCTCGGAGTGTGTGGTGACGTTGTGATCCACCCTGAGCTTGCTTTGCTCTGCTTGACTGGTCTTGTGACCGCTTTTTCTCCCCCACTTTGCGTATGGGGGTTGTGTCAAACTATATATGTGCTAGTTTTGTGTAGGCTATAGTGGGGTAGCCTGTACACACAATCATTTCAATGCAATCATTCTAGCTTCTAATCTTGACACGCTGCACAGGACGCACGAACTCCCTGTCCCACCTTTCCCCTCCGCCGCCCGATCTCCTAGTTCCGCTGCCCAATCCCCCTCCCCCCCCCCACCGCCTGATTTTCCAGTCCCGCCTCCCCTTTTCCCCTTTCCGCCACGCCTTCTTCCCCTCCCGTCACGCCCTCTCCCCGTCCAAACACCCGTCCTCCCATTCCCGCCACGCCTTCTCCCCTTCTCGTCACGCCCTCTCCCCGTCCAGACACCCGTCCTCCCATTCCCGCCATGCCTTCTTCCCTTCCCGCCACGCCCTTCCGGCAAGCCCTCATTTATTCCCGGGTTGTCCTCGCATTCTCTCCTGCTTCCCTGGGTCTTCTCTCGTTTACCCCTCCATTTTGCACAACCTTCCACCCAGTTCGCCCTCTCCTTCCCTCATTTCCCCTCTGGTTCCCCACATTTCGGCCCTTATTGATCTAGCACACCTCCCTATGCGTGAGCTATTCCGCCCATCCACCACTCCCCACTCCACCGTTTGCCCATATACCTCTCCCCACCCCACCGTGAGCCCATCTCCCTCTCCCCACCCCACCCTTTGCCCATCCACCACTCCCCACCCCACCGTTTGCTCATCTCCCTCTCCCCACCCCACCGAGAGCCCATCTCCTTCTCCCCCCCCCACCGTTTGCCCATATCCCTCTCCCCACCCCACCCTTTGCCCATCACCCTCTCCCCTCCCCACCGTTTGCCCATCTCCCTCTCCCCACCCCACCCTTTGCCCATCTCCCTCTACCCACGCCACCGTTTGCGAGTCTCCCTCTCCCCACCCCACCCTTTGCCCATCCACCACTCCCCACCCCACCGTTTGCCCATGTACCTCTCCCCACCCAACAGTGAGCCCATCTCCTTCTCCCCCTTCCCACCGTTTGCCCATCTCCATCTCCCCACCCCACCCTTTGCCCATCTCCCTCCCCCCACCCCACCGTTTGCGAGTCTCCCTCTCCCCACCCCACCCTTTGCCCATCCACCACACCCCACCCCACCTTCTGCCCAAATACCTCTCCCCACCCCACCCTTTGCCCATCCACCAGTTCCCACCCCACCTTCTTCCCATATACCTCTCCCCACCCCACCGGTTTGCCCATATACCTCTCCCCATCCCACCCTTTGCCCATCTCCCTCTCCCCAACCCCACCGTTTGCGAGTCTCCCTCTCCCCACCCCACCCTTTGCCCATCCACCACACCCCACCCCACCTTCTGCCCATATACCTCTCCCCACCCCACCGTTCGCCCATCTCCCTCTCCCCACCCCACCGTGAGCCCATCTCCTTCTCACCCCCCCACCGTTTGCCCATCTCCCTCTTCCCATCCAACCGTGAGCCCATCTCCTTCTCCCCCCCCACCGTTTGCCCATCTCCCTGTCCCCTCCCCACCCTTTTCCCATCACCCTCTCCCCACCCCACACTTTGCCCATCTCCCTCTCCCCACCCCACCCTTTTGCAATCCACCAATTCCCACCCCACCTTCTGCCTATATACCTCTCCCCACCCAACCAGTTTGCCCATATACCTCTCCCCATCCCACCCTTTGCCCATCTCCCTCTCCCCAACCCCACTGTTTGCGAGTCTCCCTCTCCCCACCCCACCCTTTGCCCATCCACCACACCCCACCCCACCTTCTGCCCATATACCTCTCCCCACCCCACCGTGAGCCCATCTCCTTCTCCCCCCCCCACCGTTTGCCCGTCTCCCTCTCCCCACCCCATTGTTTGCCCATCTCCCTCTCAACACCCCACCCTTTGCCCATCTTCTCTCTATCTCTCTCCCCACTCCCGCAATGCTATCTCTCGCCACCAGATCTCCGGCTCCCTCTCCCCCCCACGAATTTTTTTTGGGCGCCTCAAAGTTCATCACTCGCCCTTTCTCCCTCCCCTATTCCCCCCTCTCCTCTCTCTATCCTCACGCCCACAGTGATCTATCTTGCAACAAGGTCTCTGCCTTTGATGTCGGGAAGCTGCTATCTGTTCCTCTCTCCCACATCACCCCCCTGCCGGTCTTTGTCCCCCTCCTAACAGCAATCCCACGGCTCAGCCAGATGAATGTACACCCTGTTTTAATTGAGATGTTCCAAATCTGGCTGTTGTGACTTTTGGAGTCGACTGTTGTGACTTATGAGTCGACTGTTGTCACTTTTGAGTCAACTATGATTTTTTTTTTGGATTGACCCTATAGTAAGGCCAGGCCACACCTCAACCTAACGTGTGTTCGCACGTGACTGTTGCGAACGTGACTGTACGTGACTGTATCACATGTGACTGTATCATGGGTGTGTGTCACATCTCAACCTGCCAGCTCACCCTGGCCGTATCAGAGTCACGTGCGTTTTTAGAAGTCTTGTACTGTAACTGGCTGTTTTGGGTACGCACTAAATGTTTCCATGTGAATTACCATCCCAATTTCTAATTGGTGTGAGCACCAGTGCGTTCCTAGTCATCCTTCTCAGTGTATATATTTGAGGTTTAGTGTGAAGAACTCTTCCTCATCGCTATCACATTCAAAGATGGGCATGGAGATAAGGCAATGTGTTGAGTTTCGAGCATAAACACAAACAACTAATAATTTTATGGCTAACCGGTCCACATTGGGTTCGCGGCCTTCAGATTTTCCGCCCTTCCACACCCTCACCATCCCTCTTCACCGTCTCAAACCATGCTCGCTCCTGTTGCAACAGCAATCTCGAATTCAACTTGCTCAGCTTGAGTCAGCCAAGCTCTATCTCTAAAGTCAAGAGGCTGACCGAGCTGTACGTTGGTTATGGGTCTTTGGTGTGCTGTGTGGTGGCAAGCTGGTAAACACGTGGTAACCACGTAACCTGGCGTAACCACAAGATGCTCGTCTCAGACTCCAGACTCACGAGGCTAACCGAGCTGTACATACGTTGCATTTGGATGTCGTGAACCTGGTAACCATGTGGTTGCTAGCTCGGTAAGGTGCAGTGTGGTAGAAGCCAAGAGGACAGCTACATGGTAACTGGGTGGTAACCAGAAGATGCCAAGGTGTCGTCTATCTTTGAATCCCCACTCGTTAACGGAGCCATGGTACATGCCTCCTCAGTAATCTTTGCGGTTCTCTTTGCTAGTTGGAGGGAATAGAGTGGAGTTGTGATAGGTTGGGGTGAGATGTTGCGGGGAGGTGGGAACAAAGGGAAATGATGCAGTGAGAGTGAGAGGTTGCTAGCAGTGGGGAGTAGAGGGAACTAGTCGCTAGTGTGAGAGTTGCTAGTTGGGGGGAATCGAGGGAACTAGTGCGGTAGTGGTGAGAGTTTGCTAGCTGGGGGGAATAGACTACTAACTCAGCATGTGCAAGTATCGTTTTTTCATTGTGACGTCTCAGGTGCGTGGAGCCACTAACGTCAGCATGGGGAGTGGGCACAACGGTGTGAGCGGAGACATGGAGAAACATCTGAATGCCATTATGGAAAAGCACCCCCAAAAGATGGTTAGCATAGGGAAACACGCGAACCTACCTGTTGCAATCATGCGATATGGTCTCTCGAAGCGATTGGGGAGGGAGGCGTCGTTCAACGACTTAATGCACGTTCTCACGACTTCATCACCCGATGTCGTCAACAAGCTGATCAATGCAGCAATTGATTCATGTAAGCGCACGCCTATGGTACCGTTCAAAGCCATCCCTCCAATCCTTTGCGGCTAATCTAACCCAACTCTACCGTAACCCTCCTTTCCCCAACCTCACGTACACCACCCATCGACCAAACCTATTACTTGCACTGCTACCATATGCAACACACTCCATTATCACACCCTCACTGCTCTCCATCGTTGACCGCTCCCCACCATCGATCGGTGGTCGATTAGATGTGCCCGCTAGACCCCCGTTCCCCAACCCACACAGACTTGGGGACAAAACATGTTATGCATACAAGAATAGGTCGCTGATAGTGTTCATCAATCAACTATTATGCTTATTTGATCTACTATTTAGAAATCTTGCTTTCTTGCATGTAGCAATTGGCATCGTCTCATTTCAAATGGGTTTAGTACAATTGAAATCCATAGTGATATTACAAAGATATGCCTCTATGTTCCTACGGCTATCCTGTTTCCGAAGGGGGGGGGGGGGGGGGGCGGGAAAATCGGCTAAACCGTTTGAAAATGAGAGACGTGGGTGGAGGGAAATGACCTCCAGCCCACGTTTTGTACTCCAAAACGGGCGTTTAGCGCGGCTCGACGCTGCCAAATCCTACATTACAAGCAGCTTCGCTTTCAAAATACATAATTTTGAAAAGCGTTACAACTTTTAAAAATATACATATTTAGAAAGCTTGCTTTCTTGCATGTAGCAATTGGCATCGTCTCATTTCAAATGGGTCTTCTGAGACATGTGTCGTGCTGGTTGGCGATGTCGTGTCAGCGCCGCGGAGTGTTGCGTCGGTGACGAGGCTCTCGCCGGATCTTGGACATGTCGAGATGCTCCAACCAACTGTTCTATCGCCGGAGTGATGTACATCTCCTTGGCCGTATCGCTGCGCCACCTCCCCAGCTGTTTCAAAATGCGATCAGGTACTCCTGCGTTGGCGGCGACGGTTGCTGCGCCTTTGCGGAATGAGTGGGTTCCGAGGTGCTCGAGTCCTAGGCCAATCTTGTGAAATGCCTCCTTGCACCAGTTGCGGATTGTTGTATAGGAGGGTGGTGTTGTCGTACTAACGCGACCCGTAGTGTCTGAACCAAAGACTCGTATCAACGGGCCGTATTGTGCGCGGCCATAGCCTGCCAACTGGATGAAACGTTTGGTGCATTGTACGGGGCAGAAAGGGCCCGGACTGACGGCTACTGGGACCCATGCGCCTTCTCCTGCCTGGTCTGTTTTAGAGTGGGGGATCAGGAGCCACATAGCGTCTTTCTCGAACTCAATCTCGTGCCAATTGAGTGCGACGAGGTCTGAGTATCGCAGGAAGCCGGCGTACAAGAGTAGTCGGATGAGCCCCTTCTGAAACTCGCCCGGGTTGTTCGATTTCAGGAATTCCGCCGCCATTGCATGTACTTGATGCAGAGAGACGGGATCCTTGAGTCGTTGAGGTCGCGGACAATGTCGCTTGGCGAAGTCTCGCACATTGGATGTGAACGGCCCGGTCGACGGGCACGTGGCCCCAATCATCCGATACGCGAAGCTGACTGCCGAGCATGTCAGTTGTATTGCTGATATGGTGGCCTTCTGTTGAATCGCGTGGACCAGGTATAATGCGAGTGTCATGTCTGTGCATGGCAGGAACTGCAGTTTCACGTCTATGCAGAATGCTCGGAACTTGGCCCAGTATGGTTCGTAGGTGCGAATGGTGGAGTCAGCCCTTGTATGCGTCGTTATCCGAAGCAACTCTTGCTTGAGCCGCTCGAGCAATCCTGCACCAGATGTGTGAATGGTCAGGTGGCGAAGGACACTTGTAATGCAAGAATCGGGCTATGAGGCAATCCTTCCCCAGAAAATGCGTGAGTGTGGGTGCCTACGGTCAGGCACTCGCTCCCATGGGTGAGGCAGATATGAGCGAGAATGCAGGCGGCCCATTGGGGCGGGGCGGGTTGTAGTAACGGCCACCAGCTTGCCCCTGGCCAATGAGGCACGACGAGCGTGAGCGATGCTCGCGTCCTTTGGGCGTGATGCAACACCGCTGGGATGAGGTGGGGTGGCGGAAACGCATATGCATGCTCGGGGGCCCATGATATGGAGAAGGCGTCCGTTGCCTCTGCGTCAGGGTGAGGAGTTTTGGAGCAGAAGCGAGCCAGCTGGGTGTTGTTCGCATTGGCAAATAAATCGATTGAGTGCGGTCCCAAGCGCCGCTCGATGAGCCGGAACCATGGTGCTTTAATTGCGTAGTCGTCGCGATCGATCATCTTTGAAAGTTCATCCGCTCGTGTGTTGAGTTCGCGCGGAATCCATTCAACTGTCAACCGGATCCCAAAGGTGACGCACGCTTGAATGATGGCTCTGCACGTTGTTGTGAGGCTCGGGGTCCGCGAACCACCTTTGCGAAGAATAAAGAAGACACCTTGATTGTCGGTTCTGGCGAGGACATGTCGGTGCTGGATCCTTCCCGAGAATATCTGCAATGCCCATAGGACTCCGTCCATTTCCCGTTGTGTGCTGGAGGCTGTCGTGAGGTGCACGGGCATGGTCGCGCTCGCCTCGATTCGCCTCCCTGGAAACATATCTAGTGTCGCTCCCCAGCTGTGTGCGCTGGCGTCCACATGGATTACTGCGTCATAGCTGTTCGGGACATGGAATGGGGCTCCATTGAATCTGTCAAATTCATGTAGCCAAAACTCGAGCTCTTCAATGACCGCAGGGACCAACTGCACTCTGCTGTTCCAGGAAGGGGCATCCTGAATGGTCTGTAGTAGATTCTGGCTGAATGCGCGCGCGGTTGCGCCGATGGCAAGCGACATCGACGCGAGCATGCCGGTAACTCTGCCTGCTTGGCGGATCGGGACTTTGCGTTCGGCCTTGCCAGCCATGCATAATTCGCGAATGGTTGAATGTAACGATGCTCGCCGCTCGGGACCAATGGAGAACTGGCCGCGCTGTGTATCCAGCTCGACACCCAAAAACCGTAGCTGCTGGGTGGGTTGCAAGTGCGACTTCTTGGAATTGATAACCAGTCCAGCCTTGCTGAGGTCTTGCACCACCATCTGACCC